ATAAAATAAAATGAGAAAAAAAAATTTAAATTTATATTTCAAGATTAGGTAAAAATATATAAATATTAAAGCTTATCTACGAAATATACTGAATTAGCTTTAAAAAAAAAAAAGGAAAGATTTGTATATATTATTTGGGGTCCTGTTGAAAGGTTTTAAAGTTCTTATGATATTCGCAACATTAGTTTTCAAATCGTTATAACTTTTATGCAAAGGCTTTTTCTAACTGTTCGGCATACTTATAAAAACTTATGTGGCTCTATAAAGTTACTAACTAGTTTTTTTCTTTTTTTTTGCATATAAAGCTATAGCGATTTGAAAAATTTTTTAAGTCGCGTGATTTTTAAGTATAGACTTAAGCCACAATAAGAAAAGAAAGTAATAAAAGAATTCTGTGCCAGCTTCAGTTGATCATGATCGACAAAATTAAGAAAAAATTTTATTTTAAAAATTTCGCTTGTGAAAATGTTTTTCGTGTCCTAACAAAAATAATTCCTCTCATAATTTGACGTAACCTTCAAACACTCGCCAAAATTTACTAATAATTTCAAGATCAACTTATGGGTCAATGTCGATCAATCTAAGCCGAATGATCGAAAAGCCTGGCATAGATTTCTTGTGGAAAAAGAACACTTACGTGGCACAAGTGGCATATGATTAATCTGATTCATTTGAAGATTTGCCATTTGAAGATTTGTTATTGGCGTGTTAATTGGATCCATTGGAAAATTTGCCACCGGTGGTGCATTGGCAGAGTTAATTTGAGAACTTTGCATTGGTTTCCTAATTGAATTCATTTGTGGACCTGGTATTGGATTAATGGGTTTCATTTGAGAACCTGATGTGTCCATAAATTGTCCATTTGGAATTATCGGTGGCATCGGTTTGATTGTTGGTGTTCCATGATCGAATGGATATTTTGAGAAAGGTACTGAAGCCTCCTTTTCTTTTTTAATAGGCTCATAATCAGATGGATATGTCTTCATCGAATTTTTCCTTTGTGGTCTATTAGGTTTAAAATCTTTGGAAGACTTTGCATCCATAGTCGAATGTCCGTACTCGCTATGATTTGTCAAATGATTTTCTCTATGTATATTATATGATCATACTGCTATTAAACTCCGTGTAATCAATCTAAAACATATTTTTCGTTACAAATCCACTTATGTTTACAAACCTTTTCACAACCGTTTTAAGTTCTTCAATGAATGATTTGAAATCTTGCTCAACAAATGGATTGATCAAAATTTTGCCCATAATATTTTTAATCACTGGATTATTCGTAAAGATATCTGATGTGTTTAAAATTTTTTTCTCGTAAAATTCTCTAACAATTGTTTGAACTTTGTTCTGCTGATGTACAACTTGCTCCTTCCAATATTGCGTTACCAAAAGATGACGTTCAATATTCTCTTCGTTAAGATGACCAACCTCTGGTTTTGGCTCATTCGAATTCGATTCAGTTTGTAATTTCCTTTGCACGGAAGTTACATGAGGCAACCAATAATATTGTGTCTTACCACCATCATCTGGACAAGGTACGAGAGGTGGAATGCCATCAATAATACTTTTATCAATTTGAAATTCGTACTCTAATTGCCAAGCGCTATGTTAAATTATGAAGAATATTAATTATATTCGTAAAAGTATATGGATATATGTATGTCAAAAAATACCTTTTAGCTTTGTCGGAAATACAATCCTTACAAGATCTCACAAATGCAGGCCAATATATCTGAACATTTTTTTCTTTACTTTTACAGATTTCACAACCTTTGCCAAAATTAAGTAATTGAGCGAATCGTTTTTGTGACATTCCTTTAGGCGGATCCATATCCTTGAACACCGTAAAATGTTCACGAGATGATTTCCAAATTTCTGAAGAAATGGCAAATATATCCGCGTCAAGCATGTTGGCAAAGTTTTTGCATACACATGACAGCATAAGTAGATCTTGAGGTGGTAAATGGTCGCATATATTAACGAAGACTTCAAATGAAATATTATCCTGCATTTTGCCCTTGGGTGGATAGATAATAGGATCTGATAAAAACTCTAAAAGTTTTACCATTTGGACGAAATCTTCGGGATGGTGAGTCTTTGATACATCATCAAGATCCATACTGAAATATTCAAGTAACTTAGTTGTCTTTATACATGAGTGTCGAAAATATTTTGCTCTTGGAATAAATTCAATTGAAATCGCAGTACATAAAGATATGTCGAAAATATTGTCAAAAATACGTAGAGATCTACTGTTGATTTCCCGTGATAATTAACCAATCAAAATACATAATTTTTTATAATTTTTTTATATTTATTGCTAATAAACCCAAACTCATTAATAACACAAGAGCCGACCAAATTTAAACATTAATTCAGATTTTCTACTACTAAAGATCTATTCAAATTAAACAGTTAGTAATAAAAATTTAATGTAATAAAATAGTTTACGGTAGGTATATTTTGTTTTCCAAGCGAAGTTCTTCAGGTTCCCGACAGTGTATAAAATCTAAATTACAAAATATGTGCACAAAAGTGTGCACAATATGCACAAGTTAAAATTTTATATAATTTTACAAAAAATATGTGCACTGAGCAATGGTTCCCATCTTTATTATTTTGTACCGTGAATATAACGGTAAAAAAAAGATTGCATTTTTTATTATTGAAACGTTACGTTTATCAAAAAGTTATAAATAAGTTATCCGGGTATCAACCAACCATCGAATGACCTTCTATGAGCCCTTGCTCGTCTTTTGTGTTCGTTCATTTTATCACAATTTTAATAACAACTGCCATAAAAACATTTCGCCATACTGTCTGCCGTAATTCATTCATAATTTCGACACCTGTTGTAAGTGGAAGCGGAATTAAGTGGAAACGGAATTTTACCCTAACCCTAATTTAACTTGAAATTCCGCAATGGTGTAGATCATTTTTATATAATTTTATTACAGTCCGGTGTTTTTCCAAATTTGGCATTACTGAATATAGATATGATCTACGACGATCGACATCATACAATTTTCTAGAACTTATTCGTGAAATTGAATTTGATTGGCTATCAAATTTCATA